CTTGCCCTAGAGACAAGTAGACAGACGAGAGACAGACAAACAGACCGACGAAAACACTGGGCTCGACACGACTGTACGCCGAGCTTGATGGAACCCACGAATCGAACACAGAAAAACGTCCTCCAGGTCTTCCACGTGCTCCTTATTTTCGAATTCCTATCCTCGCATAACCTGCGCGATTGAGCGCGCATCGACGCGCTCTCCACGGCCACTTTCTCGAGATGGGAAGCCATCAAATCCGGTCGTCTACTCCGACCGTGATATTCGACAATTGCAGCAGCGAAATAGTCCGTAGTTCGAGCTTCTCCCGGTCTTGCGGGCAACGCTGTGGCTTCCTGATTCTCGCTACTGGTTTCTTGAATCGGCACCCTTGAGCATTTAGGAGCGAATCAGCCCGAGTCACAATGCTTTTCATATGCTCAATGTGCATACGGCATATCGTATGCGGGTCCGACGGCGCGGTAGCACCTGTTCGAGGTTGTCGTTCTCTTTCTATTTCTTGTCTCGTCTGCTTCGCCCATCTCTTTCAGCAGTTGAAGGATCACCGGCCATCCGAGTAACCAAAAAACAGCTGCATTAAACGAGACTCAATACAGGCTGTCGGTCTGAACGTCCATCGGCCGGTCCCTCCGAACGTCATTCCGTACAACATTAAAGCGAGAGTCTGCGAAGAGCTTGCGTGATAGCCCGAAACGTCGGTCGAGAGGACCTGCGCTTTTTGATCCGAGCGTTGGAACGAGGCATAATCACTCAATCGAAATGACTCGGCCTAAAGTGAGAATTCCTCCCTCATGAGCGTGAACACATCTTTCAAAATAGTTGCGGGAAGCTTTTTACCTGTCTTGAATTCTAACTAATAAAAGCTGTCATCCTTTCACCGAGTGCTGCCCGTTCTTAATGGATCTCCTGTGCTTGGTCGGGAACCTAATCATCGCCAACTCAAGGAGGTTTCGGCGTCCGTCCTCATTCAGGCGATCGATTCCGATCGAATCGATTCGGATTTCGAACTCCGAGAGCCTGGGCCTGTGCACGAGGTTCGAGGCTTTGCGAGCTCACTCGAGTCGCAAGGATCTCGCATAGCACGAAGCTCTTCAATGACGATCGGTACTTAGGAGCGCGGGAGCTGGTCCGCTAGACGTGTGCGGGGTCTGTGGATCGAAAGGGGAGCTAAAGAAAGTTCGGTTCAAAGGAAATATTGAAGAATGAAGGATGAGGAGGCAGGAGAGAGTGGAAAAAGGATCTGCGCCGAGGGGGGAGGGAAGCTTCCGCTTGAAGCAGTCGCATCCGTCGCTCTGGGGTTGCTTCGACCGGCGGAGAGGATCATTTAGTCGTGGAAGAGCGGTACTGGAGCCAGCAGCCAGACGGAAAAACGACCGGCAAGAGGAACAAACGTGCGACTTAGGAAGATATGAGACAGAGAAGAAGCAAAAGGTACAAATTGCGAGACAGAAACTCTGAGGAATAATTGCCGCATTTGATCGTCCCTCTCTTTTGAAATTTCGCTCCCATGCTCCACGGCCCTCGGAACCTCTGGCTCTTTGCTTGGGAGGAGGACACGTTTCGGTAGAGCCAATTCAAAGACTCGCATGAGGGTGTCGGCCGTACTTGGTCAGCCGAAGTGCGGCTAACCAATCCACAACAAACAGCGAATCGGTGAATCGCTCCTTCACATGATGACGATGATGCTTTTAGTCATCACGAAAATAATCACCATAAGCACTGTCGAGATCCTTAGGCAAAACGGACAGACAGACAGGCAGGCGGACGAACGGACTGACGATGGTCGCGCTACTGTCGCCGGACTGAAGCTCGCAGCTTTTGTGGTCGTCATCGTCGCCGTCAAGAGAATGGCGCTCATCTCTCAAAAGAACAAGCTGACGAGAAATGAGTAAGGAGACGAAGACGAAAAGCCCAAAAGACAGCCCTCTTCCTCGCAGTCGGACCGAGTGCTCGACCGGCCAGCCGGTGAGCCACTCAGCCGCCGACGTAAGCGTGAGACGTACCGACGAACCGAGCACCAACCAGTCGGTCGGCTACTGTATTACACCGAGTGAGTTGAGGGGCTGACGACGCTCGTTGTAATTAAACACCGGATGGAATAACACGACATCAGCGTGGCCGCTGCCGACAGCAGCAGATAACCACCGAGAAAAAACACAGAAAGAAAGAACACTTCATGGGTTGAGCATCAGAACAGCATCGCAACGATATGAATGTCCTCGTCTCGCGTCAAACTTCGTTAGGATCTTGATGCCGCTCCCTCGGCTGGTGACTCCACATTTATGTAACATCTCTGGCTTTTCAGATAATGCGCGCAGAATCGAGCGGCAGAAACAATAAACGCTGAACACTACCACCCGTCCTGAACGAATGCAGAAAGCAAATCATTTATTAATGGACACGAGCGAACGAACGAACGAACAGAGGCAGGAACCCGCTCAGCCCTGCTCTGAAAGTTCCCCTGACGCCCACGCGAACGGGAGAAACATAGAGCACGCCTTTTGCCGGGGACGACGAGCCGAAACGTCGCGAGCGTCGACAACGTATTTTCACTAAAGTTTTTGAGAAAAGAGAAAAAAAAAACAGGATCAGACACAGAGGAAATCGAGATGCGCATAGCACTGAGCAGGGCCCGGACTCCCGCCGGGCCCAACCCAACGTGCCGCTACGGAAATTAATGAACACCGCTCAGGAACAAAACCACGGATGATTTCGCGTTCAAATGACGGTGCAGCTAGGGCCGAGTGAAATATAGCCGATCAACTGCTGACTGTTGAAAGAAAGCTATTTCTTTCCGAAGAGAACTTATGAGGTTTGAACATCATTTCTCATTGATTCGAGTAGATCTTCATCGTGTCTCGGAGCAAAACCTCTGTCTGGGACAGAGTCAGCCGGCCGGACCGTCGATCGTTCGTTCGTTCAGACAGTCGGTCAGTCCGCTCGTCAGCCAGGCAGGCAGGCACTCCTCGCCCTATCTACGTACCGTCCTGAAGAGGACTTTCAGGCTCAGGCTTCGCCAAGAGGAGATTTCTCTCTTTCAGATTTTTACGGTTCCCCCGACGATGTCCCCTGAGTGGTCATCCCCAAGAACACTATCGATCGCGAGATTCAGAATCGCTAAGAGGGTGAGTCGCTGAGTTCTGAACGACCTCTCCGCCGCGGTTCTGAACCCCGTTCCTCCGCGCCGGTGATAAACGGCCGCAAATTTCGCATCCTGGGGTTTGATGGGCTAAAAAGGTTTTCGTGGAATTCTCGTGAGAGTTTCTCCGCGGTGAGCAGGCTAGACCCCGTCTAGAGTCCGGTCCCACGGAGGTCCTCCACGAAGGGCTTAGAAAATCGTTCAGAGGTCGACCCTAGGTTCAAAAGCTCAAGCGGGTCAGATGTCGTGCGATCACAGGATTCGGGTGTCCGGAAACTTCGCGTGGCTCGTCTCGATTGACATTTGTGTTCCGAAAGCTCTCCGACATCGCGAATGGTTCGCCGCTTACTTCTGACGAAGAATCGCCGTTTGAAGCTGTCTTCAGAAAGAGGGGAACAATTAGTTCGGCGAGCCGAAAAAACTCAATCGTCAGAGATTGACTGTTTGTTTCAACTTTGAGGCCTTCTCATTACATTTCGAAGAGACAAACGGCCGGTGAGCGGCGGCCGTCGATAACGCGCGATCGTCATGCGACGAGCGATTCGAGGTTCGTGATTCCGCTCAAACCACAAAGGCCACCTAAGAACCGAGTACGGCCTATTAGCTATCGGTAGCTGTCAGCCACAAACAATACAAATGGCATTAGCTGGCGAACTTCGGAGGCGGCTTTCGAATTCGATATACCTACTCTCGTGATCGCAGATATCCTCCTGCTTCAATGAGAACGATCTAATTTTCGAAGCACTTCAGAGGAGGGAATAGGAACGCAGAGGGAAAAGTATATCCCTCTGGACGGGAACCTCGCCATCAGGTTGGAATTCCTTCCGCTTGCGGCGAGTCAAGTGAGATATCTCTTTGTTAGTGTCTGCAGTCAGCGACAGATAGTTCGATGATAGGCTCTGTTTCGAAAAGGAGAACCTCGGCGACGAAACCCGCCAGACTCCACCGTTGGCTAAGCGAGCGAAGTTTCAAGAACGGAGTATTGCTTTTTCTGTCGGAGGGAACCGGTTCGGAATGGTCGAAATCAATACGGCAAACCGACGATTTATTCGGCAGAAGTGGACGCTCCGACGCCCATATCGTGCTCAGAGCTATTACAAGTCGACGTGACAATGAAGTCATCATGGAAAAGGCCGAAAGAATATCTGACTGAGGAGCATCCATGACACGGCGGAGGGATCCCTCCCTACCGTGGGATGATGCCGTCAATTCGTGCACCCCATCGTTAAGTAGTTCGGCTGACGAATGGGTGCGTCTGAATTGTTTTTGACGCCACAAATGAAAAAGTCGAACAGCTATATTGCGTGGCAGGCATTTCTTCGATTCATTCGAATAATATGGCGATCAGTCGGAATACCGACATCAGAAGGTCATCCCTCTCTCTTTCACGATTGAGCCATTGCCGGATGAATACGTTGGCTGACGGTACGAAGCACAGAAGACTGCACGTACCGGTCAGCGACGAATCGATCGACGGTGAAGAAACCTTACCGCTTGAATGAAAAAAAAATCACAAAAGCCGGCTCGTCGTCTTGCCCTTCGCATCGCACATCCCCAGTTCGCGCTCCGCAGGATTTCCTTTCAGAGAGGAAATCATCATTCCGAAACGATTGCATTCAGTCATCGATAATAAGCGCTTCCACAGAGAAGATTTTCCGAATATTCGGTCCCACCAAGTCCGGAAGGTCTAGACTCGTCGGGATCTTGGGATATCGGAAGCGAGTCCTCGCTCCTACTTTCCGATCGACTCGCAGTTCAGATCAGCAGCAGGAGCGAGAATATCGCGAAAGAGTCAAGACCTGAGGCAGTCGAAGTGCTGTGATCTCTGAATCCTTGGAGCCGTAGTACTCTAGAAACTCACATCGTCGTCGTCGAGCCGGTCACAAGTCTCCACTTTGTCCGTTCGAACAGTTCCTTGGAATGGGAGAAGCCGCTTGGATCTCGCGAATCTCTGATTTGCCTTCACTGACAAAACCGATTCATCACGTGACGAGCTTCCTAGGATCAACTCCTGAGGGATGAGGACACAGATTTCCATTGTCATTTCGTAGAACAATCCACAGTACAGTCACAATTGTCTGAGATCAACAATTTTCTCGAGTACACTCGATTGTTGTTGTTGTTGACGTCGCCGCTGTCCTTATCGCTCTCGACTCGCAGCGGCGATCCCCAAGCACGGAAGAAGTGAAGCGCAACACAGCGCCGAGCACAGGAGCGTACCGAGTGTATCGGCGTTTGCGTCCCGATCGAAACCGTGGCGGTAGCTGCTGAAGACCGAGTGAAGATTCGACTAAGGCATGTGGATCTTGTCGTTCGGTCGGCGGTACGGCAGCATCACCGCGCTCTGGTACACTACTGGTTACGTAGTGGAACAACCGAACAGCACCGAAACATCGGCGAAACGACACCGAATCACGCTCCGCCTTTCTGGCTGGCTCTTCAGCTCTCCCATTGGATAAGCCGGACGCGCTAAGAGCAACGCTCGCTCGCTGGCGGGAGGAGTGAAACAGAAACTCCGCCTTCAGTAACATATGATACTTTCTGCCGGTGCCTTACCCATCGGCGGCCGGCGCTCCTTCTGCTAGATAATAATGCACGGGCTCTGCACCAGCGGAGAAAAGCACTGAAGAATTTGAAGTTAACGTCTTCTTATGCAGAGATGCGTAGGTACTTGTAGGATCATTGGGAGTCTGTGCTACAGGACACGTGAATGAAGCAGACTGATTACAGCGCTCGAGAGAGTCACAACGCGCCGTCACAGGCTTAGTGACGCGCAGCATAATTATTGCGGTGTCGCGTAGTCGGTGTCGAAGACGACGTCGGTGTTGGTGGGAATTTAATTATTGCCGTCGAAGCCGAGGTACAAACACTGAGCAGGGCATCGCGGTGTCAGCTACACGGACGTTCGCGCGCCGCCGGCAAGACGACTTCATCGAGTCGTATACACTCGTACGATGGAAGTCTACGGCGGAAATTTATACGTTCCATCATTTGATGCCATCGAACAATGTTGTCAAGCGATCCGAGCGTCGTGGGAGCTCAGCGTGAACTCGGAATTATCTCGGTCATTATCGGGACCATGATCATTATGATCATGGTCGAATAAACGATATTTATCACTGCGAACGTTTGCGGCCACTGTATGCTCGACGCCGGTCGGCGACGTTCGTTTAATTGTCATCAAATAAGGCATCGCTGTCTGAGCCGGATCCGTTCCTCACTTTGCGGTGCATAAGTGCAAAATATTTGACGACGTTCCTCGCCGCGACACGCCGCGATACATCGCGGCGCATAATGATGTTGATGTCAAATTATTTCTACGCGATGATATAATTGAGTCTCTCATGTTGCACTTCACCCCGCGGCCAGGGAGCATCTTCGACTTCGAGGTGCTCACAGAATTAGACGGCGGGCTTTGCCTAAGCCGTGTACTGCTTTGGTTCGTTCCCTCTGCTTTCACGTCCTGGGACGCACATCCCATTCGCCACCGGGACGTAACGACGCATCGCAGTGGACTGTGGCTCTGGCTGTGTGTTTTCGTGCTTTGGATTCCTTCTGAGTCGTTGGTGTCGTCTATTCGTTGCCAGCAGAACTCACTGGTATAATAGGGGCGAGAATTAATTTAAACGAGCCAAGCGTGTAATAGTGCCAGCGAGCAGAGAGCGAGTAGACGAAGCCGCCGGACGAATGAACGATGGCAGCCAGAATTACAACGATACCTACCTACTGTCGGCTCGGTATCACTCTACGAACGAACACGGCAACTCGAACTACATATTAGACATAATATAGATAGGGCAACACTGATGAGCACCCGTAGTCTTTCATCCATGGAATTTCGACCAAGTATCCAGCGATATCGTTTCGATCTCGCTTGTAGTTAGAGGACTTCCTCTCAAATCCGGCGATCCTTGCGACCGAACGACCTCCCCGTTTCTCAGCTCTCTGTGGAAGACACCTTTCTCTTGACAAAATCACTCTATCTCAGCCCTGAGAGAAATTTGTATGAGGCTCTCTCCCTCAATTTTCAGTGTGTTCCGATTGAACCTACGGGAAGGTGACTTTCAGGATCACGATCGTGGACACATGAATAGGTATCTACCTAGGTAGTTGTCAACGCATTCCCGGCTGCAGATGTCCTTCTCCTTCGATCAATCCTCCAGCGAGAGAAAGAACTCACATTCGTATCCCTCGGGCTTCGATAACGTGCACGTCGGAGTCTGATTTAGGATCACCCAATGTCAACAACAATAAGGGGTGTGGGAGCTCCCCCTGAAGGGAACCCGAACGGAGACCCCTATCGGAACCCGCAACAGACACCCTTCCTCCTCCTCGAGAGCCTTGTTTGGAACCTCTGCGAATCAGAGTCTACATGGTAAGCCATCGCTTCCGTTTTGATAAGAGGTGCAGGTCACGATCGGGGACGTTCCCGGGGAAATGATGCTCACAATATTGTCGAGTGATCTTGAACCTCCGGTCTGGGAGGGGAGTCGGGGCCCAAAAGTATAACCTCTCTTCCATATATCTTCCCATGCTGTATCCAGCCGGAGGCTGACCCTTGACGCCCATCGAGCCGGTGGACTAGATCTTTCCGGAGTAAGGCAAATGCCGAACGGAAAACGCGAGTCTGTGCAGACTCCGGAAATCGGAGCCCCCGCACCCGGAGAGAGGTCTCCCGGTTCGAATGTATGGGGATCTGGAATCTGGATCAGGTCGCAGACCATTCCAAAGGCTCTCAGTTTCGAATTCTCGTTAACTCTGCCGACCAATGAATATATCGTGATGCTTTCGCGAGAGAGAAGATTGGACTCGTAGACGTCAAAGCATTCCCGGAAGCAACACCGCGAGAGACTCAGATCCTGCAACCTGCACGAGCCACCCTCAGCTCCCCGATCCCCGAGGAGGGAGCTGATTCGGGTGCGATGTGGATCCGAAGCTGTCGGAGGGCGGGGGGGGGTACATCCGACACCAGTCGATGTGTCAGCAGAGCCGAACTATTGAAAATGATTCAGTTTATCGGACGACTTGCACGGCTGTGCCGCCAGAGATGATCTGAATGGCCAATCATCTGCCTGCTGCTTTTTCTCGCTCTGCTCGGCGGTGCGTTTTGGCTCCGACTCGTGAGCCATCCTGGAAATTGCGATGAATCGCGCTGACAAAAAAAGAGAAGCACCGAACGTCGTGGTCGCAGTCATGGTCTTCGTGTCACGATATGAAGAATGCGCTCGCGCCACAAATTTTAGAGGACGTAATTTCGGCTCCAATCAAAAGATTCCTCAGCTTGCTTTTGATCTATCCTAAGCAGCGCGTCGTCCTATTCTTTTGTGTGAGTTTCAATGGTGCTGCCGCTGAGCATTTTTTCTGCTCGATCTGAAAGCGGCGGTGACGGCCGCGAGGACTCTGGTTCTCCTCGTTAACGTTAGATTTGAGTCGGAGACCAAAGAGCAACAAGTGTGAGCTGACTGACTGACTGACTGCCTCCTCCGGTGGTTTCGGCTGATCGGCGAATACTCGTCGTCGTCGTCTTCGTTCCGTTTCGATCTGTTGTCGTTGACGCCGTGGTCGACATCGTCGTCGTGCGATCGATCTCGACCGCCGGCTCTGACTAGTCGGAATTTTTCTATCAGAATGTGTCGCGCGCACGAAAGCAATTTCTCTGTAATTTCAACTTGGGAGAGCGTCTATACTGATCTACGACGATTCTTTCGTTACCCGACCAAACCCTCGGCGGGAAGGCTCTTTTCGTCTCGGGTTCCCTCCGATTTCACTGATTCGCGGTCGACTCCGAATCCGTGGAGCTTGTGCGGCGCTCCGGCACCGATCCAAGTGCAGGAATCTCCCCTTCCGTGCTCGAACCATGCCTTGCGGTGTGAATACCGCACGGAAACTTCACGGCAGAAGTTCTCCGACGCGTAATTCAGTTGGAAACGATTCCCGTGCCCGAAGACCGGACCGACCGAAGCGCCGCGGCTCTCAGTCAGGTCGAGATGACGTTCTTAAACCGTTCATCAGAAGACGATGGTGGACGATTTTAAATTGCTCACGACTTTTTCTTATCGATAGGATGATCGATATATCTATACATATATAGAGAGAGAGTCCGAGCTGCCAGTCGAGGTAGAGCAGTCGTGACTGGTGTATATTGTACCGCTTCCGGAGTTCAACGAGATTCGCCGCAGATCGGAGCCAGCCATGAAACCCCTTTAATGACCGCTTGGAAATGGCTTCGAACATAATGAAGATCTAGGCTCGTAAACGCGAGAATTCGACATCGTTGAAACGGGACTCGTGGGTAAGATCCGGAATCGACTCCCTGATTAAACATTTGTATCTATGCACTCGATTATGAGATACGTGACCAGAGGAACCTCCGAAAATGGCCTAGAGAACAATCCATTTGCTCTGGTACCAATGAAGTCAGAGGACTCAATCAGATCGGAGTTGATGTTGTGTTGTTTTCGGTGTGGGCAATGCTGAGGATGCGAACCCTCGGAGTGAGTTTTCATGCAGATACATATATCCTCAAGTTGAAGTGCGATCCGTCTATAAGTCGCCATTGTAGTTTGCTAGTCCCGACCGAGTTCGGAGGTTCCACCGGAGACCATTCGGTGTGCGACTATTTCTGAAATGAGATTTTTCTGCGTTTCGGGATAGAGTCTTCTTCACGCCTCTACGGAGAGCCGTTCGTATACCTATGTACTACGATTCAAACGGCGGATTGTCACTGGAACGGATGAGAAGAAGACAAGGCTTTCAGTCAGTGAGCGACTTGTGCGACTCAGACATTCGAATCATTACGGCCATCCGCTGATTGGACCACCGTGACTGTCCGGTCGCTCGGCCGGTCAACAACGAGTTCTGCATGTTTCGAGCACCGATTAAACATTGTCTCTGTTTCTCGGCCCGTCCGTCCGCCCCGGAGGTTCCGAATCGAGCCGTCAATGAAATTTTGATCGGAAAAGTTTGGTAGAGAAATCACGCAGCCCCACATACGAACACCGTCTTCTCATTCGTTCGCGACCGTGGTCAGGCCGATCT